CGAGGTCAAGATTCTCCCATACAGACCGACTTAGCTCGGTTAATAAGATGTTTATTATATGGCAAAGAAGAAAACTTTAATTCGTTTAATGTAGCTGGTTTGCTAACATTTTGCTTCGAACAGCAATGAGCTTAACTTAAACCTGCCGAAATTTCCTCGTCCTCGTGACTTTTTTTTTCTTGTCATCAGGCTTTTTGGCACTTCCATAAATGATTGAAGAAAATAAAAGAAAATAAATGGTGAACATTTTTGTCTTTTAGTTTGCTACTTTTTCAACGTAAAATGATACCGGTCTAGATGGGAAAATCTAGACCGCGGTCAATATCAATTTCAGCCAATCAAATTCGTGAATTCGGTAGTTCCCAGTCCTTGTGAGACACAGCCATATAATAAAGATTTAAGTGTGCTCAACTGCTAACTGGCGCGCGAGTATAAATGAATTAGCGCGCGCTGGCCTTCGACTAGCACGCGCCATTTGCATGATTCACGTTGCTTTTGTGACGACAACTAGTGTCATAAACGTTTGCTATAGATATAAGTGTGAGCAACACATTTGACTCCGCAATATAGAGGGTTTTACCCGGTATATCAGGTTTTGTAAGTAGCGAGATGGCTGGAGTGATGATAAACCGCTTAAGAGCGCGATTTACAGGAAAAACTAAAGTCCTGAGGCTTCAGGCAATTAGCGACGATGAACTTTACGAGGTGGCAGGCAGTGAAGATGGCTTGAAAGATAAGAAAGTTGCCGGCGGTGAGAAATCCAAGAGGGGCAAGAATTATGAAATGAATGAAACTTCTAAAAGAAACACGGCTTGGTTTGCTGCGAGGACAGAAGCATGGAAAAGAACGCTCACAGGCGGGCGACGGCAAGAAAAGACGAGCAGTGAAATCGCCATCACCTTTTCGGTAACGTCGAGCGATAAAATATACCAGAAATGGAACAACAAGACTGGGAAAGAAATCAAAAGTGAGACAGTGAAGTCTTCCTTATTGGAACCCTTTGACGAGTGTCCATCGTTATTTATGAGCGAACTAGCTCAACCCACATCTGTCAATTTTGACGTGCACCTGTCTTACGGACACTCACGTGACCCAGCCCTTGTTGTTGAGGTTGGAACTGACAGAACCAGTGTTCCCACTGATCACGTGACTTTGAATATGTCGGCCTCGAATGCCTGGGAGAAGACAAGAAATCACACAACAGCAAAAGCAACCGTAATGAACTTCTTCTCGAGATTTAAGAGAGAGAAGAAATCCAAAGTGATGAGAATTCGTATTTAAAAGCCTATAACCAGGCTTTTATTTTCTTAGCAAGGTGAACATTAAGTCGTGTACATACAGTCACGTTTTGCTTGCGTTTTTGCGTGTTTAAGTTTGGCCAGTTGCAGGCCCTTGTTATCAATCATTCAGTTAGTATTGAACGCAAGGCCTGCAGCAAGAAGTCGACGACCTTTATTGAATGTAAATAATTTTGAATAAAAGTAGTATCTGTTTCGTTAATGTAAAACCTCTCATATTAGCGACTAAAAAATAGGTTTTGGTAATAATCTTATAATTTTACAACAAAATATGTAGACCAGACCTCAAAACAGGCGAAGACAGTATAGCGCTAGTGCAGCGGACGACAAGGAATAATTCGCAGTAACAAACACCGGACAATGGTTACAGATGGACCTATTTCTTTCAACCTGTCTGTTCCTTCTGCAAAAGTCGGCTTCACAAAGGATAAAACTACTAACCGTAACAAGAAATAACGGACTAAGTGTTGTGGCTTAGCTTACGTGAGAGTCGCAACTCGAGCTCCTAAGATCTCGGAAAAGCGAACTTTTTCATCTCTCCAGAGAGGTTCAAAAAGGTTTTTCGGGTGGGAGAATCCGCTGAGCGATGTCAGTGCCGGAGCAGGGTTACATAAGGGTGCCTACACTCATCTCGCACAGCGGATTCCTATAATGAACGTTTCGAACCTCTATGGAGGAGAGAGCTTTTTTACCTGACACTAGAATTTCAATACAAATCGTCCATGCAATCTTGGAGTTTTTCCATCTCGCTATGTACTTCGTTGATCCTACATTTTACATCGTTTATCTCGGCGTTTATTTCTTCCTTGTACCTCTCCAAGTTAGCGACTTCTCGTTCCTTCTCTTCCGCTGTGCTCACCTTTTCATGTACTTCCTGTGCAAGGAAGCTCGACTTTTTGTCGCTTTCGTCCTCCCTCTCGTAAGCTCCTTCTTCCTTCTCTTTCAGATCATCCAGTTTGGACTTTCCCAGTGTGATGGACTCTTGCAGTCTTTCGACCTTATCCACGGCGTCTTCCATTCTTTTGAGCGCCTACAGACGACGATAAGTAAAAACAAAAAGGCAGTGTTAGACATTCAGGTTAATAATAATAATCCCATTTCCAGTCTTCTGGTGTATTTGGCAAAGATTTGCCCCTGATGGAGTGCTATAATAGATAGAACATTTCAACTCCTCCCCCACCCCTTTTTTTTGCCCTGATTCGCCGTAACCTACTTGAGGTCGGTCCCTTCTCTTAGATTCCGAAAAGTGTTTACTTCCTAGAACGGTTTTTGAGTGAGTCAGTGCCGCGCCCTTGACTCGTCCCAAACCCTTCTCGTCTAAAGTGTCTCCACACAAGTTCCTGATTTTGAGGAAGACACAAAATGAAAATCCCTGGCTCGGGAGGGCAAGAACAACGGCGGCACTGTGACCAGACTGAAATCTGAATGTAACACCGACTCACCGATTTTTCTGTTCCCCTTTTTAAATATCCCATTAACAGGATTTTTCTGCCAATAGATAATAACGAGCCAGCGTTTTGCTTTGTGCCAAACCACTCGATTATATGTTGAACTTGTATACAGCCCTACAAAGACAGCTGAAGACGTAATATTTTTAAGTCCGGTAGCAGCTTTCTGGCTTACTGTCGGAAGGGGTGAAAACTTCATCAGACCGATTTGAATAGCTAGTGCTTTGACTGAGTGCTGGATCTCACATACGTGGCTTTATAAATAAGCTTGTATGAGAAGATTAATTAACAATCTGAAACAATTACGTTATCAAATTTTATTTGATTTCTTTGTTCCCTCACAGTAATAGTGTTAATTAATATTGCAGAAATAAAATTTCACGGAGAGCATTTGATATAAGATTTCGATCTGTATATGCCCTTTCTAGCAAAATGGAACTTGCGTCGCACTAATTCGCTGTTTTGTTTTGTTTATGGTTGGTAGCAGATTATTAGTGTTATTTCATTGTAGTGCGTAGCTACCGACTGTTTATGAGCAACGCTGATTTGAGACAATTCATTTGAGGCAAAAACGGAGCGGCTATAGCCAAGAATTCTGGAAAATGTATTCGTCAATTTTGAATTTAGACATTGAAGAACGTTCAGAATTTAACTTGGTTAGCTTCATTTTTGACGTACCAAAGAAAGGGATTTCGAACCAAACTCATTTAAAATTCACGATGTCTACTTCTTTGCACAACAAAAGAGAAACTTCTTAAAATCGGTTTAGAAACCCCGTTTAGAGGTTCAAAACTTGTTTCGACCCATTTGTGTCATTTCTGTTCGAATACGACGTCGTTTTAACAGCATTATTAACTAATACACTTATCTTGTGCTAAAATACTTGGAGGGTTTCGTGGTTATATGCATCAGAGAGCACGCAATTTGTTTGGAAAGCTGTCGGAGAACATTACATAGATTAATTCAAATCTCCTGGGTGGCAATCTTTGCTTTTTCTTTGTCTATAAAAAAGGCTGGTCTAGAAGCACTTTGATTGGATTGGCTTATTAGGTTGATACGATGATGGAGTTATTGTTCTAATCTAAGGGCTCGATCGGCATGCGCTCCTAATTTCCTATTCAATCTTCTGTTCCATGGAGAGCAAGTTTACTTAATACGAAGTAAACCATACCTTATCGAGTTCGTTCTCTAGCTGTGCCATTCGAAGTGTCATTTCTTTATTCTCCGACTCCTTGCTTTCAGCTATGTTCCTAATTTTATCCACTTGCTTCTCTAGCTCGCTCAACTTTTCGTCGCCATCCAACTCCATGTTCTCGAGGGTCTTCACCAACTCGTTCTCTACCTCCTGTTTCTGTGCAATTTCTTCCAACTTCTTGAGTTTTCTCTCCAGCTCCTTCTCCTTTTCTGCCAGGTATTTCTCCATTTGACCGATTTTCTTCGTTTTGGAATCAATTTCTGACTCTAGGTTATACACTTTTTCGGCAGCTTCTTTGAATAAATCTTTGGCGTTTTGTTCCCTATCTTCGGCGTTGTCGATTTTATCTTTGATCTCTTGCATACGATCTCGAATCTTGTTCTTAACTGTGTTCGTCGCCTGCATTATTTCGAGAATTTTTCAAACCGTACAATAATATGTGCGAGTGGCTAACACGAAAAATAAGCGAACGAGTTAACTTGCGCAATCCAGTTGTGGTTATAGAATTTTAAAGATGCAGATTTTCTCCAAGAATGCTGAATATTTCTGAAGTGGATATTGCAAGTGAACATGGGCGATCCGAGTACTGCTCATTTTCATGTAAATTCGTCATACTTTTCAAAACGCTATTGGTCCAGACGCGGTCGAATATCATGAATGTGCTTGACTGTCGATTTCTAAGGCAAATTCTCATAACGGATGTCAATACACCTCCTTCAATACCAGATAAGAGCATTTGGCTGTGTATCGAGGAAATGGCTCCCGTGTGATCCTTAACTTTATTCTCGTATTGTACACTCGTGGTTTCTGTGGATATTGCAGGGAGAAAGTGGACATTGATCGTCGTCATGGTCAATGTCCTGCTAATGGACGTGATTTGCTTCACAGCTTGTGGCTTAGTATTATTCTATATTTCTTAATGACTTCTTTTGTGTCGCGAAACACATTCAAAGAATAAGCATAAATGTAGCAAAACACGTCGTAATTAGATCTTTTATCTCGTATTTAACTGAAGCTACGATCGGATCAGCACGACCGAGAACGAGAACAATTTCAGACTCAGTTTTGGCGCTTGTTGGAAGAGATTTGTGAAACTTCTGGAGACGTGTTTCTTTCTGTTAGCGGAATAGGGCGTGTCGTGAGCACGGAAGCGACACCTGAAATAGTTTGCATTTCTTTCGGTTTTCTTTGATGATTTAATGGGTTAATTATGCACGTGCAGGTATTCAAGAATGAAGCAACGAATAAGTTACCAGTAATCGGATACCCGTGTTTGCGCGAAGAACTCTGGGATCGTCAGGGGGCAAACATTGCTAGTC